GGAAGAAGAAGATGCACTCAAGGCAGGAGTTCTTAAGCATGGTACTGGAAAATGGCATAATATCCGTTCAGATCCTGAGTTTAGTTATGTCTTGCGTTCACGCTCAAATGTGGATCTCAAGGTATGTAGTTGAGCCTCAAGTAGGATTCTTTATATTAGATTCTAGATTTTTTCCTTTTTTTTGTTATGGCTTTATGTTTTTCTTTTATTTCAGGGCTTAATAATCTGAAGGAGCTACAGATATCAAATAGTAACATCACTAATTATGGGTTGTCTTATTTGAGAGGTATTTATCTACCTTTTCTTTTGCATAGTGGACACACACTGTCGTCCATTGTGTTATATAAAAGGATAGGATTTCTCTTTGTTTATATTCATTGTTCTTGGTTTCAGTTCCTAATGCATTGAATGTAACATAATTAATACATCTTATCTTTTAGGTCATAGTCTTCAGGGTCTTCTAGTGATGGCATCTTAATCTTTTTTCCCGTACTAATAATATATTATCTTAATAAGACCAGATGACCTAAAGAATTAAACATATTATGTTATGTACTAACATTAATTTCCATGGCAGGTTTGAACAAACTTAATATGTTGAATCTGGAGGGATGTAACGTTATTGCTGCATGCTTGGATTCCATCTCAGGCGTGTTCTCATTACTTACCTCTACTGATAATTTAACAGTACATTTTGTAGTTGTTATACATTGAACATGGATGTGCCTTCAGATATAGTGACATGTATTTCATTGGGGAAACCAGTAGGTGGATAAGGATAAACTCTCTATCATTATCATGCATAGAAGATCAAACTTCATCATATCACAAAAACAATGAGTTGTTAACAAGTCCATGGAGTTTGAGCAATTATCGAATTTCCTGGAATTATAATAATTTCGTGTGACATGCAATCATTGGTATACTTAAATCCTGGAAGATGTGGCCTAACAGATGATGGATGCGACAAGTTTTCTGGTGATTTGTGTTTGAATTCCTTTAATCCTTTGATTCTTGAACCATTGTGTAGAACTACTACATTGCTAAGTATAGTTGGAATGATTACAGTATTCACCAAGCAGAGTAAAGCCCCTGTTTTGTTTTATTTTTTGTTTGGTGTCTTTAAGTTGGCTTGCACTCAGGTTTTTTAAAATCGAAATCTAATCTGATGAATGATTTTAGCATTCAAACGAATTTATTACTATTAGTGTATTGTGTTTGTTTCAATTTCTAGGTCTTTGTTTCTTTAGATTTTAGAAAATGAATAGCTTAATAATAATTCATATATGTCAAATTGATTTTTGAAATAGAGAAATCCATCATTTTCGTATCTGCAACTGTCTTTCTCAAAATCTCAACATTATTTACAAGTGCGGCTAACATCATCTTCCCTCTCCTTTGATCATCTTCCCTTTGCTTACTATTGGATTCTTCACATTTGTTGATTGAATTAGTTCACAGTATTGAATTAGTGGAGTAGAAATCTGTTAGATTGGTGTTTAATCCTTTGCTTGCTGGGTATATTATATTTCATTTGCAAATTTATACACGATTTAGGCACTGAGGTAGGTGTATGTGCAAATTTATACTCTTAGTGTCCATGTATCTTTTACACACTTAGGCCCCGTTTGGTTCATGGATTTAAACATTCCTGGGAGGAATGTTTTTTTCCAGGTTAAGATACCTACGTTTGGATAACCATTATTCCCGAGCGACGGTAAACATTGTATACCAACAGTGTCGTTTTTCCCTGTTTTACTAGGAATATTAATCCCCCATATCTCTTTGGTATTTGTTGATTCCTGTCGTTTGTTGGCTAAAATACCCCTCCGTTAGCCTTTTTGGCTGAAATTATTATCCTTCCTCGATTTGGCGAGAGTTGTGCGAGGAGTTGTCTCTTGCTCCAACAGACTTCATTTTCTGTGTTGTTGTTGCCAGGTTCGTCTCTCCCAAAACTGTTTTCTCCCTCTGTTCATTTAAGCTGATTTTGGACTGATTTTGGATCTAAAAATTGGATTTTTTCTCTATTCCTGGAAAGGAACGATTTTGGACTGAGATTTCTCTCTTCTAAAATTAAAAACTATAGTTTAAGCTGATGGGATTTCGATTCTCAGAGTTTTGTTTTTTTTCAAGTCTGAACTAGCAGCAAATCAGATATAGTTTCAAGTAGTATATGCATTGTGTACTGTACCGGTTGAAATTTGGAATCGTTAACACTTTGAATCCCATTTCCCCTTTTTATTTCACCTTTACCGAGTCTCATCTGGAGGTTTGAGAGCTTTCAGATTGCTAATTTGACTTCTAAGAAATTAAAGTGGTTGATGATTCTTTGAGGTCGAGGTTGTAGGGGTGAGCTGAGTTTTGTTTCACAGGCTGGGGTCGAGTTGTATTTTCTTTGGTTGTTGTTAATTCCTTTTTTGATCTATTTATGTGTAATATGAAGTATTCAGTCATGGTTTCTTTATTCTGTCGTCTGTTGTTGTGTTTTTGATAAATTAGTTTAGCTGGGAAACCTGTAGTAGTTTTACTTTTCTGGATTTTGCTTTGGTTCTTGCCTGAGTATTGTGGTTGTTTGTTCAACGAGGGAGTTGGTTGTTGCGCTGGTCTCGTTTTAGCTTTGGTGGATGTTGATGTCAAGTTACAGGATTGTTTCGTTCCTTTGGTTAGGTTGTTTTTGCCAGTCTTTAGTTCTCTTTTTCTTTTAATGGTGGTCGGAGTTGGCTCTTATTTGTGTTGTTGTGGAACTGTTGTAGTGTAGGGCTGGAGGTTTGGTTTTAGCATGGTTCATTGTGTTGTAATTGTTTGTGTTCGTTGATCACTATTATTTTTGCCCTCTCCATACTTGGTCTAGTATTCACCATGAGACTCTTTTTGGATCAGAAACTGAATAGAGCCCTTATAAACTTCATCCGGATATATCAAAGTAAATTATTGCATATGTTAAGAAAAACTCTAAGCTGCTAGTACTTCAGTTCTATTGACCTCATGTTACAATAATCACTAATGATCCCTTCCGTATTAAAAGAAATAAACTACATTAACTTTAGTTAATAATGCAACCAATGGTTTGTTGATTGAATGGTCATTAGAACATAACAGAGGATGATTTTTGTACAACTAATAGCATCTATATCTTATTTTGTTTTCACTGACTAGTACTACCAATACAAATCCCACTTGCCCCCGACCTAATCAAGGAATACAGTTTGGTTTAAAAAAACAGTAGCGTCATTTGATTCTGATTCTTCTCTTTTACTTCTTGTTCCTTGTGCTGTTCTATCTTGTGGTTCCTAAGGGGACGGGTCACATTGTACTCTGCCCTTTTGGAGGATATATTCACCCAACTTGCTCAACCCATTAAGCTTTTCCTCCAGTTTATAAGGAGCTTCTATCATGATATCTCTTAGACACCCTCTCTTGAAGTAAACCTCTGAGAGAAACAACCCATCTTTTTCCTTCCATCATTATTGCAAGTTTCAATTTATTCACCCTCCCTCTAACTTTCAGTCGCATGCATATTTCTTTAAGTTTCAGCATGCCATTCACCAGAGCTTATAAACCCTTTGTTTTCAGTTGCTGCATTAAGATTTTCATAAATTTATCATAAAAAGATAAAAATAAAAATCAGTTCAAATTTATAACTAAGGATTTAGTAATATAAAGTAGGGTATGTATATGTTATCTTACGTATAAGGAATTGACATAAAGTGGGTAGCAGATATCAACTAAACGATCATAGTATAAACTCTTATCAATTATACTAGGCTTCTTATTTTATCAGTACGATACAATAAACATATATAACAGCATAGATTTGGAGCCCAAATGACTTTACGACCTAGTGGCTCCCAAGTAATGTATATTTGGTCAGTGATTTTCTATAATTCTCAGCTTATGTTAATCTCTTGATTTGAAACTTCCGATTGAAACAATGGATTTGAAGCACCTATATCAGGTTGATGCTGTTGTTGTGCTTTGCATACAACCCGAACCTAGTTATAGGCCACTCATAACTGATGTCCTGCATTCTCTCATCCCTCTATAGTACCAGTGGAACTAGGAGGTTCGTTAAGAGTTACATAGCCGGTCAGTCCAACCTATCTTTCTTCAGTTTCGTGTCGGTTATACAAATTCGGAAGTTATGATCGCGATGTCTTGAGTTTTGATTTTGCATCTTCTCGTCTTGGCTAAAAGATTGCTTCGGTAGCTTTCCCTCATTCTTTTCAAAATGAACGTTCCCTTTGAGGATCTGATACAATTTCAGTCTGCGGTGAAAATACACTTTTTGGTTTTCTGGTGATACAATATAAAGTAAGGTAATATTTGAAATACGAATATTTAACAAAAAAATGTTAAACTCTTGATTTATGTTTTTAATTACTTTAGAACTGTTAAATTAGTTTTCATATATTTTTATTGTGATGACACACAATTGTTCTTGTTTAATATTATTATGTTATAATAATAAAATGTTTGCTCATAATAACAGTTATGGCTCGTTTACCAATGCGAAAGAAGACGCATATCGCCACAATTCTTATTTTACAACTGCAAATGATGGAGATTATTTGTCATATGCTTATGGTTATTTCAGTTATTCTTAGAAAATATAAAAATAGACCTAAAATAAGTTATGCACATGAAAGACTTCATAGACATAATATTAGATCACTTAATTTACATAAAATTGTATTTGAAAGTGATAGACAAAGTGTTGATAATTGTCGAATGGATAGGAGAGCATTTATCAAATTGTGTCGCCTATTACAAAGTCACGGTGGGTTAAAAAAGAGTCGATCTATGTCTATAGAAGAAATGGTTATTACTTTCCTTCATATTATATCCCACCATATTAAGAATAGAGTTCTAAAACGTCAAACAGTAAGATCTGGTGAAACAATTAGTAGAGTTCTCCATACAGTGTTAGCTTCAATCTTGAAACTGCATCCGATTCTTTTTAGAAAACCAGAACCGATACAAGATAATTCAACAAACGATAAATGGAAATGGTTTAAGGTTTTTGTATCATAATTATGAAATTTCTTTTAAGTTAATTACTAATACTTTATACATAAATGGATACTAATAATGTAATTTAATTATTTGATGAATATAGGGATGTTTGGGTGCTCTAGATGGAACGTATATTAAGGTCAATGTATCTTCAATCGATAAACCTAGGTACAGAACAAGAAAAAATGAAATTGCGACAAATGTACTTGGTGTTTGCACACCAAACATGCAATTCATTTATGTTTTACCTGGGTGGGAAGGTTCTGCAGCTGATGGTAGAATACTCAGAGATGCCATTAGTAGAAGAAATGGTTTAAATGTTCCACAAGGTAATTTATTAGGTCATTAATATATACATACATATATATATATATATATATATAAAAGAATGTAAACTTCTTACAAGTTTTGTATATTAATTCACTTTTTAAATTAAAATAATATAGGGTGTTACTACTTATGTGATGCTGGATACACGAATGGAGAGGGATTTCTTACACCATATAGAGGTCAAAGATACCACTTGAATGATTGGAGAGAAGGACACCAACCTACCAGCCCTCAAGAATATTTCAACATGAAACATTCTCAAGCTAGGAATTGCATTGAGAGATGTTTTGGCATATTGAAAGCGAGATGGGCAATTTTAAGGGAAAAAATCATTTTATCCAGTGAAAACACAATGTAGACTTATTTCCGCTTGTTGTCTTCTCCATAATTTCATAAGATCTGAGATGCCAATTGATCCTATTGAATCTGACTATATTGAATATAGTAGGCATGCTGAAGAGATTAATGAGGTAGAAATGATCAGACATTGTGAGCCAAGCAGTGCTTGGACTGAGTGGAGAGACAAATTAGCAAAAGATATGTTTACTAGTTGGTTGTCGTCACGTACTTTAGGATAGATGTTATTTTATGTTATGTATGGACTTTCACCTTGTATTTTATCTAATGTTTGTGGTCATTGCTTTTATGCATTTGACATCTTTATATTTTATGGCATAAACTTTATTAAATTTTATGTATTTCTCTTCTAAAAAATTCGAATTTTATTTGTTATGGACATTCATTACTTATGTCATTCACTACATTTGATTTCTATTATGTTACTTTTAAATTTAATTTATGATTATTATTGATAATGATGACATGTTTTATGTTATGTTATACATTTTTTATATACATCTTCTTAGATTATTTCGAAGAGTAATATGTCAACATCAAATATGGAATCTCAAAGGGGGGGAAAACGGACATCTGGAAAGGTTAAGTCTATAGTTTCTAAAAAGACGTGGAGTAAACAGGAGGATGCTACACTTGTTGAATGCTTACACATTTTGGCAGAAGACCCACATTGGAAAGATGATAATGGAACATTTAGATCAGGTTATCTATCTCATCTTGAAAAGATGTTAGAAATCAAGTTTCCGACATCACAAATTAGGGTACATCCACATATTGAATCTAGAGTGAAGATACTCAAAAGACAATATAATGCTTTATCAGAAATATTGAATATTGGAAGTGGATTCGGTTGGAATGAAGAAGAAAAATGTTTACCTGCACCAAAGGATGTGTTTGATGATTGGGTTAGAGTAAGTATTTTACTTGAATTTATCTTCTTTCTGTACTCTTTGTTATCTACATAGGTAATTGTAAGATTTATTAAATATGCGATTTTATTATATTGTAGAGTCATCCAACTGTTGTTGGATTGAGAAACAAGCCATTTCCATTCTTTGACGACTTTGTTCAAATATTTTGAAAAGAAAGAGCAACAGGAATAGCAGCTGAGACAGCAGCTGATCCAGTGGAACATATTGATGTTGAAGACAATGCATTTATAGATGCATTACTTGAAGACGAGGAGTAAGAGATTCTGAATCAAGAGAGGATGTTGGTGTTTCAACTTGCCAAACATCTGCTGCCACTGCCTCTACCCCTGTAATGAAAAAAGTAGCTAGCAAGAAAAGGTCTTGAAGTGATGATGGGTTAACCGAGCTTGTACATGAGATAAGTAAGTTTGGTGCTGCATACCGAGAAACTGCCAAAGAAATTAAGGATATTACTGCTTTATTGAAAAAGGAGGCAGAAGGAAATGATCGAAGAATGTCGATTTTCACAGAAATCATGAAAATTGAAGGCCTATCCAATGATGAAATGCTTACTGTAGGAGAGTATATTAGCAAAGATGCGCACAAGGTAGATTTATTCTTTTCTTTGCTAAAAGAATTCAAAAAAGATTATGTGATTAAGCAATTAGTTGAATGCCATCACTTTATACCATCCTTTTGATTGTGGTCCTTTTACAATTATGTCGATCTCTTTTTGATTATGACTTTAGAATATGGTCCCAACTTTTTTGTGTAGCTTATCCAGGTATATGTCAAGCTTTTGACTTGGAGAATTTTTGTGTATATATTATAGCCAACATATATGATTAAGTTTAGAATGCCATGGCTTTTATCTTTTGTAAGTCTGAACATTGTACAAACTTTTGATGGTTAATGTTATACTTCTTTTTGTTATGTAAGTTTATCTCATGATACTAGTAATTTCAAGCATAATTTTACTGATAACTACTACAGAAACAGACATTGTTTCAGTATGAAGTTTTAACTCTATCTATGATAAATAAGTTATCTTTTTATTACTTACCAGCTTTGCATAATGTTGAAAACATTTTGATATTTCGATATAACAAATTAAGTTAAATGAATTTTAAGATTTTCCAAATGATTTTCTAAGTATATTCGATAGAATTATTCGAATATCAAAACATTACTCCAAATCTTTCAAAGATCATTTTTAATCCTTACTCAAAGTGTAAAATTAAGTTTTAATCTTAAAACAATTTCAAAATAATTTTACAAAGTATTTCGAACCATTTCAAAGCCAAACATTCCAGATTGCTCAGAGGGAACCGATTCCCCCTAAGGGGGTACCGATTCCCCCTGAATGGTTTGGCTCTGAGAATTCCAGTATGCTCGGAGGGAACCGATTCCCCCCAGGGGGTACTGATTCCCCCTTGTATAACGGTCAAAATATTTGAATTTTACACTTAGGGAATCGATTCCCCATAGGGGGTATCGATTCCCCCAACTCTCTAAACTGTTTTATTAATTGTTTTCACACTAAAATGGCTATATTATTTTCTCTAATTATCCCCAACGTTCAGAAATGATTCAAGGTGTATTTAAGCAAGCTTAGAAGCCATTGATAAAAAACAAGAAACATCAAGCAATTAGAATCAAGAGAGAATCAAAGAGAAAGCATCAAACCTCAAGTTTGAGCATTTCAAGCCTATTTTTCATTCAATATTCGTTTTGCTTTCAAGAACACTTATTGTGCTCAATTGTATTTATTCTTGAGTGTTCTTTCTTTGTTCTAGAATTGTGCAAACATATTTGCCTTGTGAGGTTTTTCTTGTAAGTTTGCAAATTTGTATTTCTCTTTGAGAAAAGAGTGTTCTCAAGAATTGGGGTATATTCTTGAGGGAGTTGTAAGGTTATCTCTTTGGCCTTAAAAGAAAGAAAAAATTAGTGAATTTGTTGGAAAATCCTTAGTGTGGATAGCTAAGGTAGTGGACGTAGACTTTGGTTGATAAAGTCGAACCACTCTAAATCGCTGTGCAATTTTTTCAATTTTTTGCAAAAGCTTCCACCAAAATTTTTATTGCCAATTCACCCCCCTCTTGGCCGATTCAGTCAATCGATTAACTCAACACATAACCATTACATTGAGACAATTAATGCTATGAAAGAACACATTTGTCTTCAGAAATGTCGACACAAGAAAATTTGAATTATGTTTTTGTAATATAAATTAATGAGATAAATAATAATAATAAAGTATGCAAATTAAGTATAAATATAAAAGATAAATAAACAAATTATTGTATATAGAAGATATAATAAATATTATATCTTAGATAACAAAAATAATTTACATCTTTTATTATTATGAATATCTATGAAGAATTTCCACAATGTAAACATTTAGTTAAATGTTGATGTAAAATTTTAATATATTTTTACATAAATTATATAAAATTTAATATTAATTAAAATTAAAAAAAATACATGATATATTTAAATACTCAAGTAATATATTATCAACAAATAGATTTTTTATATAAATAATCTTTATTTAAATATTTAGAATTTCATTTGTTAAAAAAACAAATATAGAAGAAGGACAATTTGGTAAAATATACATTCCAGTAATCTTTTATTCCTCCAACCAAACACTGTAATCTTACATTCCTGCAAAACCAACCAAACACAGTAATGTAAGATTCCCAGTAATCCTATTCCCTGGTAATCTTTTATTCTCACTGGTAATCTTACATTCCGTGAACCAAACGCACCCCAAATGAAATGTAAAAGGGGATGAGTAACCCTACTTCAAAAAACCCTAGCAATGAACAAAGCAATAAAAATTACAGTTCTTTTTTCTTAAAAGTATTGAAACCTTTCTTTCATTTTTTAGTAGTTTATTTCGAAAAAAGAAAATATCGAGATATATTCAAAGGTATCGAACCATTTTCTTATTTTCCCATTTTTCGAGTATAGTAGCCATTTTCCATTGTTTTAACTGAACGTAAAGGGAAAGGTTTTATTTTTCCTTACCTTCCCATGAGGGAGACTTGTTGGACTTATTCCATGGCCATTCGAGGTCACGCCGTTGAGAGAAGCTTGGAATCGGAGTCTCCACGATCGTTAGGTCTTTAGGGAGTTTAAGAGTTGGTTTTAGTTTAGCTTTTATTATTGTCTGTTAGGCTTTGAATATTAGATTTAGGGCTAAGAATCGAAAAAAGAGGCAGTGGTCTTGAGGCTTTGATGTTTCTCAACCGTGCAAAGGGGAATATTTGAAAGTGTTCAGCAAAAGGGGTAATCACACTTTAGTCCTCTTACTTTAGGCTTTATTTAAACTTTTTCCATTATGTTTTGTCCCTTGAATTTCTTTATTTTCATTCCCCTTTAATTTAGACTTTGAATTTAGTCCTTAGATTTAGATATCTCACATTTTAGTCCCTAAACTACTTAATTTAGGGAATAATTTGATTTTACCCTCTCATTAAAACGCACGAGGGTCCATTTTGATTGTTCGACTCAATAATTGGTTAAAATAAATTATGATTACTATTAGAGCCTTCACTTTAGGTTTATTTTCATTTTAGTCCCTTAATTTAGGGAATATTTTGATATGACCCTTGCATTAAAATGCCCCAAGAGTCCATTTTGATTATTCAAATCAATAATTTGTTAAAATAAATTAGGATTAATATTAAAGCCTTCATGTTTAGGTTTAGTCCTCTAGGTTATTTAATTTTCATAATTTAAGTTAGAGATTACCTTAATTAACCTACCTAGCATAATTATGATTTTAAATGAGTATGTGATTGCATCTTGATTTTAAAATAATAAGGCAATGTTCATTTATCAAAGAATTAATAGTGTATCATCTGCGTTATGTTTAG